AAGATGGTCTTTCCTCTACAGTCTAGGTTCATAAATCCATTAACTGGGACTCCAACAGGCACCTCAAACTTCACATCCAAGGTTATACTTTTTCTTTTTTTTTTTTTTTTTTTGAGTTGGAGTCTCACTCTGTTGCCTAAGCTGGAATGCAGTGGTGCAAAATCATGACTCACTGCAACCTCTACAGCCTCAAACACCTGGGCTCAAGGGACTTCCTGTCTCTGCCTCCCAATCGGTACTATAGGTGCATGCCACCATACCCAGCTAATTTAGCAATGTTCTGTAGAGGAGATTTGGCTATTACCCAGGCTGGTCTTGAACTGGCCTCAAGAAATCCTCCTGCCTTGGCCTTCCAAAGTGTTGGGATTACAGGTGTGAGCCACTGCACATGGCCCAAGGCTATACTTTCAAGTACCAGTCTCACTGAGAACAGTGAGAATACTGAGCTCAAGAAATGTGGGTGCTGGCTAACTCTCCCTTCTCCCTCGAATTCAGGCCCCGTCATCTCTGGCCTCCATTACAGCAACAGCAGGGAAGGATAGTGAGGCAGAAGGGACTGCCTGTGCAAAGGCAGGAAGGAGAGCAACATTATGGCCTGCCTGAAAGCCCGGAGTGTGTTGTGGGGATCAGATAGTGAAGACCTCAAGTGTGAAGCACAGACTTTGTCCTGAGAGCACGAGGGGCCCACTGAAAGGGTCAAAGCAACGGGGAGCACATCTGATTTTGCATTTCTTTCATGTCTCCATTCATTCCTTCCCTCATTTACTCCATCCATCAACAAATTTTGAGCACTGTCTATTGGAAAGTGACCCTAAGACAGTGGAGAATGGCTGGAGGGGCAGGACTAGTTGGCAGAGAGACTCGTGAGAAGCGGATGATAACAGCCCAGGTTATGAAGTTTCTTCCTCAGGGCAGTGGTGGTGAACAAGCTGAGACGGGTGGCGTGGTGAATCAGTCCAGGATCCCAGCTTGAGCAGCTGAGAAGATACAGTGTGAGAGGTGCTGAGTGGGAGCCCTAAGCCCAGAGGTATGGAGTCTACGGTGGGGAGATCCCTTCCTTCCTCCTGGGGAATCGAGAAAGCACTTCAGGAGTGGCTTGATCTGGATCTTAAGAGAAAAGGAGAAATTCAGCATGTAAGAGTCATGTCAGTCAGAAGCCTATTCAAAGGCCCTGAGGTAGGAGAAATTCAGAACTCTGAGGAACTGAAAAACCAGCAGAGTTGAAGGTCAGCGGCCCACTCAAAGTGCTATGATTTGAACAGACCCCCCCAAGAAGCGTGTGTTGAAATGTAATCCCCAATGTAACAGTGGTGGGAGGTAGGGGACTGGGGCAGGGTCACCAGGGATATTATGAGACCTCCCTGAACAAGCAGAAGGGAAGAATTCATTTTTTGTTTTTTGACTTGGAGTCTCACTCTGTCGCCCAGGCTGGAGTGCAGTGGCACGCTCACGGCCACAGAAGCCCCAACCTGATGGGCTTGGGCCATCCCTTCAGCCTCAACCTTCCAAATAGCTGGAACCACAGGAGTGCACCACCACACCCTGCTGAATTTTTTATTTATTGTAGAGACGAGATCTTGCCAAGTTTCTCAGGCTGATCTCAAGCCCCTGAGCTCAAGCTATCCTCTCACCTCTGCCTACCAAAGTGCTGGGATTATAGGCATGAGCCACTGTACCTGGCAAGAAGAAGAATTTAAGGAAGGGTTGGGAGGGAATAGAAACATAAAGTGTGTGTGTGGGGAGAAATTATAGAGTATGTCTCTTTGGGAAAAGTCACTAAAAGGAGGTTCCAGGGGGACACTCCTAGGGAGCAAGAAGAGACAGACAGAATCTTCAGGATTTGGGGAAAGAGGCACATTCTTTTACCATTTAGAAGTTGATTGAAGCCAGCTCGGTGGCTCAGCCTGTAATCCCGCGCCTTTGGGAGGCTGAGGTGAGTGG